TGACAAGCTGGTTCCCTAGCGTGCTCATGACTGCCTGTGACTGGGTTAACAGGATTACATTTGAGCAAAACGGGAAACATTCAACGAAGCAGCCAACACTAGGGTTTCAGCTCTGCTATGTACAAGACAACCTTGCTGCCCTAGCCTAGCGCTTCTAGCATGCAAACATCACATGGGCGAGGCTCGGGGTGCCGAGCCGTATTTACAAACCGCAGGCGCTCTGAATCTGCATGGGCTCCAGCGCAAGACCTTCGCCAGCTGCAAGCATGGCGTGCATGTTCAACTGCAGCTTCTGCCACCTGTCGGCTGTGCTGTGCTTATCCGCGTCAACAGCTCTCGCCCTGCACAGGACACAAACGAAACATGCACCCACCCCAACTCATACACCCACCATTCTCATGCAAACATACTTGAGCGTTATTTACAATTATGTACACCCTCCCTTCTTCCCTCCGCCCTTTTAGACTCCGCTTCTGCTACATCCTCCCGCTCTCCCTGCTGCCACCTCTTGGTGCTGTCTCGGTTACTCTGTGGCCCTCTTGGCTACATAAACCGCGACAACATACCATTCCTGAAGCAGAACGAACACGCGCGTTAGTAACAATTCAACATTCGGCAGCAGCAGAAACAACATCGGCAGCAGCAGAGACAACATCGGCAGCAGCAGAAACAACATCGGCAGCAGCAGAGACAACATCGGCAGCAGCAGAAACAACATCGGCAGCAGCAAAGACAACATCGGCAGCAGCAGGAACAACAAGAGCAGCAGCAACAACGACACCAATCCTCGTCAATGAAACACCGCCAACACCAGCACAACAGCTCCACCCAGCACCACGAGAAGTTCATCGTAGCGTCAAATTCATTGCCAGCTTTTACTCCAACTCCGACATGTACCGACGATCACCCGGGCATCGCGCCGACGAAAGTACCTGGCACGCAAGAATGGGACACGCAAGCAACACTGTGTTAAACAACACCATAAGAGCAGGAGTCCTTGACAAGGACTCGTTACTACTACTCGACGGAAGAGAACTTCAACGAGCACGAGGAACATCCCTCACCTGCCCCGAAGCCGACTTACCGCATCGGCCGTTCGCTCCTCGTCACAACCCGAGCGCACCCGCGTACGCACCACTCGAAAAGGTGTACAGCGACATCTTGTACAATTGGGAGCCAGGACAAGTAATTTACAACTACACAATCACCTTCATCGACGCCGCCACCCGCTACGTCTGGCACCTAAACCTACCCAGCCGCGACATGGCCCTCGCAGCATTCGCTGCCTGGCTACCAGTAGCAGAGAGAGAGTCGGGGGTAAAGCTGAAAAGCTTACAATCAGACGGAGGAGGAGAATACACCTCTCACCGCTTCAAGCAGTACCTGGCAGAAAGAGGCATCAAGCAGCTCCTCTCCCTTCCCTATGCACATCAACAGCAAGGCGTAGCAGAAAGAATGAACAGGACTCTGCAGAACAGCATGCGCAAACTGTTGCGTGGCATGCGGCTACCCGACCACCAGTGGCCTGCAGCAATGGACCACGCTGTCATGCTGCACAACTTGCTGTCGTCATCATCGCTTCCGAACAACGCATCACCGCATTTGCTGTGGACAGGGAAACAGGTCAGCACAAAAATGTTACTAGTGTTCGGATGCATGGTACAGTACCGACCCCCAGCAGCACGAGCGGGAAGATTTTCACAACGCGCACAGTGGGGACTACACCTCGGCATTGAAAAGAATTACAGCGCATGGACAATCTTCGACATCCACTCCAAGGAAACACTAGCAGCACGCGATGTCATCTTCTACGAACGACTCACACCCCAGACATACCTTGCCAACCTGCAAGAGGACCAAGATCCCACAGGTGGTTTCCGTGGAGACCGAGCCTTCGCCTCCGCAGAAGACGAAGCTAACTGGGACAAACAAAATGTGGACAACGCGTCAGAAGAAGCCGGACCTTTACCGTTCTGCTCCGTCGACGTTCCCATGGACGAAGACAACCCTCGCGAAAGCGTCAACGCCGAAACCTTCTACTACTTCGCCGACAATGGTTACGTAACACCTGCGACAGTCAACACCAACGAAGCAGAACGAGTAGGACCGAATTTCTTACCCGATCCAGAAGCGGGAGATGAAGCAGCTTATCCCGAGGACACAAATCTTCCCCGCTACTCACAAACTGGACTGCAGATACTCGGCCTCGTCACCGCAGTCCACGGAGACGCTCTTCCTAAGGAGCATGCGACGGTTCAGCAGGCTCTGGGGGGGGAGCACAGGGAGAAATGGCGTGAATCCATGGACAAAGAGTTAAAGGCGCTGGAGGACCGGAACACCTGGAAAATCGTCCCCATCATCATGGCGAGGAACAAAACCATCCTCACCGAGAAATGGGTATTCCGCGTTAAAACAAAAGCAGATGGCACAATTGAGAAGTTCAAAGCACGCTGGGTTGTGCGTGGATTCGATCAAGAGCATGGACGGGACTTCACCGAGACATTCGCCCTGGTTAGCCGACATACCTCACTTCGAATCATCCTCGCGATCGCCGCCATGAAGAAAAAGAAGCTGCGACAAATCGACGTCGCCAACGCATTCCTCTACGCACCTGTTGATGCCGAAATCTTTGTTGAGTTACCTCACAGCTCCCACGGAGAACCCAACCAAGTTTGCCAGCTACTCAAGTCACTCTACGACATCAAGCAGGCCCCGCGACTGTGGCAACGGCACCTGCACGCTCGCCTCATCCGCATCGGCTTCAAGCAACTACCGCACGATCAAGGCATGTACCGGCTCACTAAAGACGAAGACTAAATTCTGCTAATCGTCTACGTGGATGATCTTCTCTACATCGACTCGACTGATGGCATAACCACCTGGTTTGAAGGGGAGCTGCAGCAAGATCTCACGCTCACAGGCTCATCTACTGTCACTCAGTATCTCGGCCTCAACATCCGCGAAGAAAAGAACGCGATCTACCTCAGCGCCGAAAAATACGCCGACACTATCGCCAAACGCTTTACGATCACACCAGCAGCCATTTCCACGCCATACCGCTACACGGCAGGGAACGACAAAGGAGGCTCCGCCCTACTCAAACCCGCCGGCATACGAGACTACCAGAAGAAACTGGGATGTCTACTCTTCGCAGCCGTCACATGTTGTCCCGACCTCTCATACTCCGCAAGCCAGCTCGCTACCTATCTCAAAAGGCCTGAAGCAGAGCATCTGGCGGAACTCGACCGCGCTCTTCACTACTTCGTCAGCACTCCGACGGTCGGCCTGACCTACCATAAGAACGCAACTGCACCACCTAAGCTAATCGGTTACGTCGACGCAGATCACGCGGGCGACTCCGACAACAGACGATCGCGCACCGGCTATATCTACCGCTTCGAGCCTATCGGGCCTATCTCCTGGCAATCGAGTAAGCAAGAACTAATTGCTCTCTCATCAGCTGAAGCAGAATACATTGCACTCTGCTCAGCCACCAAGGAAGGACTGTACCTTCGCGAACTGCTAGAAGAAGCGAAATTAGCCGAGTTACCCAACTTCACCCTTTTCTACGACAACCAATCTGCAATCCGCATCGCCAACAAGAACGGCTTCACGAACAGGACGAAACACATCGCCCTGCGATATTTCTTCGTGAAGGACGAGATCGAGAAGGGAAGACTCGTCCTGTCATACTGTCCCACGTCCGAGATGGCAGCTGACTACCTGACCAAGAAACTCGGAAAGCAGAAGTTCGAATACTGCATGTTGCTGACTGGACAGAGCCACGTCAGCGACACTCCAGAAGCGAAGGGGAGTGTTGGAAACAATCGGTCCTAAAGCGCTTCTATCGTGTCGAAACACCAAGGCACAAGCGAAGCAAATCATATCGAGGCACTAGCGAGTCAACCCTCGGAGGTTGAAGTAACCGCTGGAGGTTACGCGAAGGTCAAAGGTCAGCGACATTTGACTTGACAAATACAGCGCGACAGCAAGGACACACAACTGGCTCGATACTGAGCAGTTGCACCAGCCGTCACTGTATCGAACCGCAACAAGCAACAGCAAAAGCAGTTACAACCGTATCTCTTCGTATTCATTGTACTCTTATATAATCTTGTATCTCTTTGCTTTAATCAACTTACTTTGCCCTCACATACCAGCGCAAGGTGGTTCAGAATCTTCTCTTAAACGCTTCCGCTATTACATCACTTTACCTAGAGTTTCATCCTACCAAAGATCCTAAGGGGCATTTCAGCCCAACAATATGGCAGGGTGCCCCAAAACCAATTTTGGGCCCTGCAAGGGAATATGAAGGGTTATCGCTAATAACTGTTTTGCTGTTGCTGTTGTGGTTCGATATAGTGACTACTCGGGCAACTGCTCAATAACGAGTCTATTGTTTGTCCTTGCTGTCGCGCTGTACTTGTCAGGTCAAAGGTCGTTGACCTTTGACTTTCGCGTAACCTCCAGCAGTTGTTCAACCTCCGAGGGTTGACTCGCCGATGCTTCGCTGTGTTTCGCTTCGTTTATGACTTAGTGCTTCGACACGACAGAGGCGCTTGAGTTACTTGTTCTCAACAGTACATTGCTGCGTTGCTGCCTACCAGTGACCCCATCTGCAAGTGTTGGAGGCACCTAAGAAGGCGAATAATGAGGCGGATTAAAATGGCGTCACAGAAGTGTGTTGTTGCTTGCCAGTGCACTGTGCTCCCATGCGATGTTTGAGACACGGCTTACTGGATAAAGGCGAAGCAGTACATGCGGGTATGGCATGGCTTTCTCATGTATACTAGGTTGAAAATAGCCTGCATGCCTGTTGAAGCAACAGGGCTACTAAATGCATACCAGTTGCTGGATTAGGGGATGACTACCATACTTGACTCGTCGAGAAGCAGAATTGAGCTACCGTATCTGGTGCTGCTGACCTCCACCGAAAACAATAATCCACAAGAGCAACTATCGTCCTTCGAATGGGAGTTGGACTACGCAAGCACTCAGAATCAGGCAGCTGGTGCAGCAGGCGCTCCCGTCCCCGTTCCTGCCCCTTTACCACCACCCGCCCCGCCCGCTCTCCTCTTGCGCCGCCCCCACGGCCACCACCTTAGCCGTGGCTCCGGCGGAAAGAGGCTCCTACGATGATGATTTCCCGACCGCTCCCACGCGCAGTAGATGGCGGCAGCTGCGAACACAGCAGCAGCGGAGAGCGCGGCGAGGAGGCCGAAGTGGCGCACGTCGTGGGCGGCGATGGCGAGGGCCAGCATGACGAGCTCCGCCAGGCTCGCCAGCGCCACCTCCGTGGTGCCCACTATGTTGGCCTGCGCGGGCGGGATGGCCACCTGGAAGATCTGCGCGTCCACCACGTCGTATGTCCAGTGGCCCAGCCGTGATACCACCTGCAGGGAGAGGGTGGGTGGAGGTTGGGTGGAGAGGGGGGGTGTTTGAGGTGCCTGTAATGGAGGTGTGCAGGCACCCGCAAAAAGAGTGGCACCTGCAAAAAGAGTGGCACCTGCAAAAAGAGTGGCACCTGCAAAAAGAGTGGCACCTGCAAAAAGAGTGGCACCTGCAAAAAGAGTGGCACCTGCAAAAAGAGTGGCACCTGCACAGAGTGGCACCTGCACAGAGTGGCACCTGCACAGAGTGGGGCGCGGATTGGTGTGCATGTGTGGGGTTGAGAGATGGGAGGGAGTTTGAGGTGCGTGAAATGCTGTGGGGTGTCAGGGGTAACTCGTGAAAGCGGTAGCTTGTGATAGGGTAACCTGCTGGGATTCATTAACAAAGAGGCAACACTAGTGGCATGAGTGATTGCTGAGGGGGATAACTCACGATGAGCGCGAGGAAGGCGAGGAGCAGCGAGTGGTGGTGGCCCATGGAGTGAGAGAGGGCGAAGACCCCCAGGGACGCCGCCAGCACCAGCGACTGGAACAGCAGCGCTGCCCCGCCCGCCTGGTGGAAGAGAAACGGGGGGAAGAGGTGGAGTGAGGTGGGGTGATGTGGGGGATAAAGGGATGGGGGTGCAGTGCTGAGAGAGGCAGGGCAGGGCTGGTGGCGAGGCGAGGAGACGGAACATGGCGAGATGGCGCAGGCGCTTGGAGACGCGTGGGGATGTGAGCGGGACATAACATGGTGTCATAACATGGTGTCATAACATGGTGTCATAACATGGTGTCATAACATGGTGTCATAACATGGTGTCATAACATGGTGTCATAACATGGTGTCATAACATGGTGTCATAACATGGTGTCATAACATGGTGTCATAACATGGTGTCATAACATGGTGTCATAACATGGTGTCATAACATGGTGTCATAACATGGTGTCATAACATGGTGTCATAACATGGTGTCATAACATGGTGTCATAACATGGTGTCATAACATGGTGTCATAACATGGTGTCATAACATGGTGTCATAACATGGTGTCATAACATGGTGTCATAACATGGTGTCATAACATGGTGTCATAACATGGTGTCATAACATGGTGTCATAACATGGTGTCATAACATGGTGTCATAACATGGTGTCATAACATGGTGTCATAACATGGTGTCATAACATGGTGTCATAACATGGTGTCATAACATGGTGTCATAACATGGTGTCATAACATGGTGTCATAACATGGTGTCATAACATGGTGTCATAACATGGTGTGATGACACGCGTCACCTGCAGCAGGCCAAGGCGGGTGATGAGGAGCGGCGAGAGAAAGGTGGCAGCGAAGCCCATGGCCGCACACGCGCCTCTGAAGGCCCCTATCACCGACACGTCTACTCCTGGGAGAGGTCCGTTCGAGAGAGGGATGGAGAGGGATGGAGAGGGATGGAGAGGGATGGGCGAAAGCAGCGAGCAAGGTAGGTAGAATGGAGAGAGCAGATTGTGATGGGATCAAATGGTTTGATCCAGCCACACCCCACCACACGCCAGTGCCCCACCGCAAGTCACTGGCATTGACCCACTCACCGCAAGTCACTGGCATTGACCCACTCACCGCAAGTCACTGGCATTGACCCACTCACGCACCTTGCTGCGTGAGGAAGCTGGTGATGAGCCCGCCGGGCGACAGCACACAGTTGAAGAAGAGCAACACGTACGCCACACTCACGGGCAGCACCGGCTGCCCCAGGAAACTCCTCCACCCGCGCACCACCGACCGCACCGACATCCCCACAACCGACCCGGCTGCCCGGCAGCTGCCAGTGAGTGCCGCCGCTACAGCCCGGGGTGCTGCCATGAGGAGCAGCGCGGGTGGCGGGACGCCGGCAGCAGGGGAGGGTGCGCGGGTGGATGCGGCCGTGTCTGCTGCAGAACCAGCAGCCCCTGCAGCAGTCGCTCTTTCCCTGCTACCTCTCCCCCCCCCCCTGCTCTCCGTGCGGCTCGTGCTGCTGGTGCGCTGTGTGGAGGGCGGCTCTAGGGAGAGCCGTGGTGCAGCAGGCGGCTTGGGGCGGCTCAGCACACCGTTGGACTGGCGGTCCGTGCGCAGCACGAGGCAGATCTGCATGGGGGGGGTGGGAGAAGGAAGAGAAGGGGGGGGACGAGGATCAAGACGATGATCTGGTGAGGGGGAGGGGGAAGGGAGGGGAGAGTGAGCAAGGGGCGGAAATGGTTGCGATGAGGGCGGAGCTGTGAGGGAAGGGAGAAGCACACGCAGCAGGGCAGGAGCAGCAGGAGCAGCAGGAGCAGCAGGAGCGGGGTTGAGGAGAAGCAGCGGGGAGGGTGGGATGGAAAGGCCTCACTCCACGCGCACGGCCTCGGCGCTGGTAGCGGAGCAACGTACGGCGCTGGGCGAGAGCAGCTCACGAGGATGGGCAGGGAGAGCAGCATGGTGGCGAGGGAGGCTTTGATGCACACAGCCGGGCTGAATGCTGAGAGCAGCCACCCAAACACCACCGGCCCTGCCACCTGGCGCGACGCCATTGGATGGAGGTGGAAGGGGTGAAACGAGGGAAAATGTTGAAAGCAGGAGTGTGGGGTCGCACAAGGGTAAGTGGGGGAAGCATGAGGCAGCAGAGAAGGAGAAGCGGGGGACGGCCACGGCATGGCACACTGGCTCAACGGCATGGCACACTGGCTCAACGGCATGGCACACTGGCTCAACGGCATGGCACACTGGCTCAACGGCATGGCACACTGGCTCAACGGCATGGCACACTGGCTCAACGGCATGGCACACTGGCTCATCGGCATGGCACACTGGCTCATCGGCCCGCACACTGGCTCATCGGCCCACACACTGGCTCATCGGCCCACAGCATCACACTGGCTGATGGGCCCACAGCATCTCTTGGGCTCAACGGCTCTGTGCCTGGGTGCACGCACGTCACAGAAGAGGTCGGCCCGGCGCAGCATGGCGTTGGCGTTGGCCAGCGCTGCCGCGTTGCCCTGCCCCGCCAACTGCGGTGAGGGTGGACGGGGGGGAGAAGAGAACAAGAGGGGGGAGGGGGGGTGAGAAGGTCAGTGGGGCGAGGGGGATGAAGATGAAGGGAGAGCAAGATGAGCGAACAAGTGAAGAGAGTGGAAAAGGAAGACAGGCGCAGCAGGTACACAGGCGCAGCAGGTACACCCACCCTCTCTCAACTCCCACCATCCTCCTCCACCCCCCTTCTTCGGCACCACGTCTTACCCAGTCACGTTTGAAGGCCACAGCAGAGGCGACGCCAGTGATGCGCTCCACAGCGCCTGCCAGCACCGGATCCACCCCTTCCTCATCCGCCCCCCTCCCCCGTCTGTCCCCCCCACCACTTACGAGAATGACCCAGTCACGTTCGAAGGCCACGCCGGACGCAATGCCTGTGATGCGCTCCACCGCCCCCGCCACCACCAGCACCGCGAACCATCCCTTCCGCATCAGCACCGCTCCTGACTGCCCCGCCACTGCCGGCGCCGCGTGCACTGCTGCTAGCGTTGCCAGCGCTGCTGCTACCATGGCTGCTGTCTGGGGGAGAGTGTAGGGGGAGGGGGGGGGGGGAGGAGAGAAAGGGGGAGCAGGGGGGAGATGGGGATGAGATGGGAATGGAGGCCGAGGGGAAAGAGGCGGGAGCAGTGCGACACGCGGGAAGGAAGTGCGGAAGGAGTGTGCCTCTGACAGTAGTTGAAAGAGCAGTTGATTTGAGATTGGTACCTGGATGCAGGAGATGGTGTTGAAGGCACACCTGGATGCAGGAGATGGTGTTGAAGGCACACCTGGATGCAGGAGATGGTGTTGAAGGCACACCTGGATGCAGGAGATGGTGTTGAAGGCACACCTGGATGCAGGAGATGGTGTTGAAGGCACACCTGGATGCAGGAGATGGTGTTGAAGGCACACCTGGATGCAGGAGATGGTGTTGAAGGCACACCTGGATGCAGGAGATGGTGTTGAAGGCACACCTGGATGCAGGAGATGGTGTTGAAGGCCCACCTGGATGCAGGAGATGGTGTTGAAGGCACACCTGGATGCAGGAGATGGTGTTGAAGGCCCACCTGGATGCAGGAGATGGTGTTGAAGGCCCACCTGGATGCAGGAGATGGTGTTGAAGGCCCACCTGGATGCAGGAGATGGTGTTGAAGGCACACCTGGATGCAGGAGATGGTGTTGAAGGCACACCTGGATGCAGGAGATGGTGTTGAAGGCCCACCTGGATGCAGGAGATGGTGTTGAAGGCACACCTGGATGCAGGAGATGGTGTTGAAGGCCCACCTGGATGCAGGAGATGGTGTTGAAGGCCCACCTGGATGCAGGAGATGGTGTTGAAGGCACACCTGGATGCAGGAGATGGTGTTGAAGGCCCACCTGGATGCAGGAGATGGTGTTGAAGGCCCACCTGGATGCAGGAGATGGTGTTGAAGGCCGCGACCCGCGGGGCAGAGTCCATCATGTCGCCCACCAGCGGCGCCCCCACGAACACCACCAGCTGCCATGGGGACATAGAGGGGGTGGGGGTAGAAATTGCGACGGGGGAGGATGGAGCAGGAGGACATGAGGGTATGGGGGAATGGATGCTGTTCACCGCACCGACTCCTGGACCAGAGTCTGTCGCCTCTTCCACCAGTGGCGCGGCCACGCAGACCACCACGCTCCAGCTGCCATGGGACTTGGGGGGAGAGGGTAAGAGCCCGACAGACAGAGGATGGCGGGAGGAAAATACATGGAGATTGGAGGGTTCAGAGAATGTGGGGAACTGGGATGGAAGGACGTGAGGTAGGAAGGACATGAGGGGATGGGGGAATGGATGGTGAGGATGGGAAATGGATGGTGGGGATGGGGGAATGGATGGTGAGGATGGGAAATGGATGGTGGGGATGGGGAATGGATGGTGAGGATGGGGGAATGGATGGTGAGGATGGGGGAATGGATGGCGTCGGGACAAGGAATGCGAGTGGGATGGTGGGCTGAGAAGACCAGAAAAGAACGGACAGGCCACAGCCGTGGGGTGAGGCACAGCCGTGGGGTGAGGCACAGCCGTGTGGAGCGCCGCACCTGGCTGGCGAAGCTGGCGACGGCGACGGGCAGCAGCGAGTCGTGCAGCAGCGCCAGCAGAGCCGCGCCCGCGAAGCGCCACGCGTGCTCCACGAAGCAGTTGAACACAAACGCCAGGTACAGCGCTGGGGGCGGGGTGGGGGTTGGTGTGGAGGACGCAGGGGGGCGCAGTGGCAGGGGGGCGCAGGGGAGTGGGGATGGCGAGAAAAGGGAGTGCGTTTGGATGGAGTCGAGTGACAAGTCCAACACGTGGCTCGGATGCAGCGCTACACGCACTCGCCAGGATAAACCACGGGGGTCACAAGGAGCGTCACTTGGGACCCCGCAGGAAGTCGCAAGGGGGCGCAGGGGGAGCAGGAAGGAGTGAGTACACGTGGTGAGTCGAGGGTGGGGAGGGGCGGTTGAGGTGCGGTTGAGAGGAGAGAGCGTGGGGGTGTATGGCACGTACAGTTAAGAGCGGCGGGGAAAGCGGCTGGCCTGGCTTCCACCGCAGCAGCCTCGTCGTCGCTCGACTCCGAGCCCCCAGCTGCATCCGCGCGCACCCCCCGCTCCGCGTGCTCCGCCACGCCTGCTGAGTCCTTCCGCGCAACCAGCAGCCCAACCGTGTCACCCGCGCAAACGCTGTCCTCGCCATGTCGTGCGTCCCCCCACTCCTCAAAGCCCTCGCCCAATCTCATGGCCTTCTGCGGCTCTACCTCCCCCACTGCCACCTCGCCCTCCACCGCCTCCGCCTCCCCCCTTTCCGCCTCTCCCTCCTCCGCCTCCCCGCTCTCCGCCGCTCCGCGCTCCGCCTCTCTCCTCTCCGCCTCCCCACGCGACTCCCGCATCGCCAGCTCCAGCTGCGCGCGCTCCAGCTCCAGCCTTCCCCGCGCCATCTCAGATTCCCCCGCTTTCGTCTCCGCCTCCGCTTCTCCAGATAGACTCACTCCCGCGCTGCCCTCCGCCCCCAACCTTTCCCACGCCGCCTCCGCGCCCTCCGCGTCCACCGCGCCTGCGCACATCACACCAGCAATAAGCGCCCCCCCTGCATTGACCACCGCACCGCCCACCGCCCGCGCAATCAGCTCCGCCTCGTCCGCCTCACTCCACACGCCCCCCTGCCCCGCGAGTCCTTCCCCACGCGCTCCAAGCCCCTCTTGCTGCGCGCCACCGCCCGCGCAACTGGCTTCCCCCGCAACCCCCTGAGGACTCTCCCCGCACTCCTCGTCCCCACGCGCGGAGTGCCGCGGCCCCACTATCAGAACTTCCGCCCACACCGCCCGCGCGGACTCGGGGCTCGGCTGCGTACCGTCGCCGGCGGAGAGGTGCGCCACCCTCCGCAAGCCGCGCCGCTTCTTCCGCGAAACAACGGGCCGCGCCTCCCTCGCCCCATCTGTCCGGTTCGTTGCGCGCCGCTGGCCAGCAGTGGTGCTACTAACAGCCCTAGTAGAAGCCCCACCAATTGCGCTGCTAGCAGCCCCGCTAGAAGCGCAACACTCTACGCGCGCAACACGCGGTGCAGCAGCAGCGCGCGTGTCTAAGAGTGCCTGTATCTCAACCGACCGGCCTATCTCCGCGCCTTGCCGCGATACGGCAGCGCGCGGCGGCAGCGGCGACGACGCGAGGACTGCCGCGGTGATGGATCGAGCCGCCATGGCAGCGTGCCGCGCGGCAGCCCGTCAACGGGACGAATGGACGGCCGACGGGAATGGACTGCCGCTCCCCTGCAGCAACGCGTGAGGGGACGCTGAGGGTGGATGCGGTGGTGGGAATGCGGAGGCAGCAAGGGCTGGTGGACAATGCGCTGGTGACACTGCCCTAGCTGCCTGAATGTCGATAATGATTTGCTTTTCCTCCGACCAGGCTTTGTGATGTGATGTGATGTTTCTGGTGTTGGTGGTGCTGTTGCTGATGCTGCTTGCTAGTGGTTGAGGGTTTGCCCACACAAAAGTGGGTTGCTGCAGGCGAGGCGAAGCTGCAGTGCCGCTGCTGGCTGTCACGGCGAGGGGAATATTCGTGGCGACGCGCCCTCCACGTTGGCACATCGATGGTGGCTTATTGGCCGCTCAATTGGTGAGAGGGTTCCTCTTTGTGCCGTGTGACTCTGTACGCGATACTGGCTTGCAGATTGGGCTGTCACTGTCAGCTTCATTCCGCGAACATGATTTGACTACGAATCAACATTCTCCTCTCTACATCAATCTCTTATCGAGGACAACGAGCTCTTTGTTTCCATTGGCTGGACGATTCCATGCTTCCCATAACATGAAGGCGCTATGGTCGTCAATTGGGAATGCCGAATCAGTAGGTCCCTGGTTCACACTGTCTCACCGTGCTCCCAACCTCTGCAGCCCACTGCACCTCTTACAAATTGCCAACCATAGCTGCCTCCATCCATTAGGGGGCCTCTCATGCTTGATGAACTTTCCGCCCTTTTAAAGCGGTTGACTACGATGTTGTGCATTCTAGAGAGGTAAGTTCACTTCACCGCTTTGAACCGCTGCAAACAAGCCTGACCAGTGAGTGATTCATGAGCTGTAAAATCACCATGCATGTACATATGCTTGGCACAGTTCAAGAGTAGGATCCGCTGCAGACAACCCGAACCGCCCACACGTGACAAGCAGCACACCGCCGCCAGAGCACACCGGAACCATTTGCACAGCACCAGTGCGCGCTCACTGCGCGTCCTGCCGCTTCGCCCGCAGCACCATGTCGCCCGCGTCAGCCCTCCGCGCTGCTGGCGCGTCCCAGCTTACGGGGCTCGGGTCCGCGTGCTCCGCGCACGGCGCTCGGCGGAGAAAAGCGACGGGCGGCTGCCAGACGGGCGAGGTGCGTGATTGGAGCAGCGAAATGCCGAAAGGCGGCGGCAGCTATGGCTGCTGCTGACAGGCTGGCTGTGGGCGACGCGACGCATTGGGTAAATATCCCCGCAACGATGTCGCGACGAGGCCCGCAGCGCTGGTCTCCCGCCCTCGTGGCGCCGCAACGGGCGGCTCTGAGCGCAGCCGCTCTCCGCCTCGACGCGGAGTTGGCGGAGCGCAAGGCTGTGCGCGCCTGACAGATGCTCCTCCGCCGCGGTCCAACTAAGGCCCGCACCTAGCGCTGCGATGACTGCTTGGCCGGCGACGCGCGCACTGCGCGCTCATGCGCCCTCCCCCCGCCCTCCCTCATGCTTCCTGTGCTCCCTCCGCCCGCCCCTCGCCGCCCCTCGCCTCCCTCCTGTGAGCACAGCAGGCGACACCGCGAGTCGACGTGGCAGGAAGGAGATTCTGTTGAGACTAAAAGCATGCGGGGTGCTTGCCCGTGCACACGTGCGCCACCCGCTACCTTGCGCTCCTTCCTTACGCACCCCCCGGGACCGCTGCCCTCTGCCCTTCCTGTGCACCAGGGCGCAGCTGGAAGCTTCCACGAAGCACGGATTGGGTGCAGCTGGCGAGGGTCCACGTGGCAGCTGAGGAGTGGGCGAGCAGCAGCGGGCAGGGGAGATGGTCGTGGGAGAATGGGTGGTGTGGGGCAGGCGCGAGCAAGCGTGGATGAGGTGAGGGGATGAGGGGGAGTGAGGGGATGAGGGGGAGTGAGGGGGACGAGAGGGTTGGGTGGGATTGTGGGTAGCTTGGAAGCTTCTGTGCTGTGCGGTGCTGTGCGGTGCTGTGCTGTGCTGTGCTGTGCTGTGCTGTGCTGTGCTGTGCTGTGCTGTGCTGTGCTGTGCTGTGCTGTGCTGTGCTGTGCTGTGCTGTGCTGTGCTGTGCTGTGCTGTGCTGTGCTGTGCTGTGCTGTGCTGTGCTGTGCTGTGCTGTGCTGTGCTGTGCTGTGCTGTGCTGTGCTGTGCTGTGCTGTGCTGTGCTGTGCTGTGCTGTGCTGTGCTGTGCTGTGCTGTGCTGTGCTGTGCTGTGCTGTGCTGTGCTGTGCTGTGCTGTGCTGTGCTGTGCTGTGCTGTGCTGTGCTGTGCTGCGCTGTGCTGTGCTGTGCTGTGCTGTGCTGTGCTGCGCTGTGCTGTGCTGTGCTGCGCTGCGCTGTGCTGTGCTGTCCCTTTCACTGCTGCGTCCCTTTCACTGCTGTGTCCCTTTCACTGCTGTCGAATCGTTGCTCGTATTGAAACCCAAAAACACCCAACGGCCCACACGCCCTGCCCTCTCCTTTTCATTGCCCCGCTGCCTTCCATTGTCCCCCGTCATCCCCTCTCGTCCCCCTGACCACCCCTCGCCCCTTCTCCCCGTTCCTCCCCGTCCCTTCCCTCCCCGTCCCTCACCTCCCCTCCGCCCACCTGACCGCCCCTTACCGCTCTTCACCCCTGTGCGGGCAGCTAGCGGGCGTGCTTGTGTTGTCAGCCGTGCCCTTCGTGGCCGTCAAGGCGCTGGCCAACAGCGGGCTGGGCGGTCAACTCAGTCAGCGCCTGCAGCAGCGCCTGCCCGAGCTCCGCCGGGCCGCTGACCGGGTGGAGGCGCAACGGGAGGAGGCGCGGGAACAGAGGTGGGTGAGTGAGTGGCAGCAGGAGGTGTGGCAGAGGTGAGCCGAGGGGGGATGGGTGCAAGTGGACCTACTTTTGCTCCAACGCATTCTTCCCATCACTGCTCTTCGCCCACACCACGCCCTCCCTGCACATCTCATGCCCACACATCTCGTCCCTCCCCGTTTCCCCCCGCCCTCCACGCGCCCCTCCCCTTCCCCCTTTCCCTTCGCCCTCTCCCCCCTCCCCCAGTCCATGGTACGGCCCTGCACGCCCGCGCTGGCTGGACCCGCTGCCCTTCACCTACCCGGCCTACCTGGACGGCCGAGTGGCGGGCGACTTTGCCTTCGACCCCGCTGGCCTTGCTCGTGACCCCGCTGCCTTCCAACGCTACTACAAGTCAGTTGGGGTGGGGGGGTGTGTAGGGAGAGTGGGAGGTGAGGATGAATGGGGTGGGAGGTAAGGGAGCATGGGAGCTGACCAATGAGGGAATGAGGCAGTGCTTGCTGTGCCTGTGCCTGTGCCTGTGCCTGTGCCTGTGCCTGTGCCTGTGCCTGTGCCTGTGCCTGTGCCTGTGCTGGTTGTGCTGGGAGGTACACGGGTGCCACAGCGCATGCTGGCTCGCCCTCTGCACCAGCCGCATTGCCCCCTCTGCACCAACCGCATTGCCCCCTCTGCACCAGCCGCATTGCCCCCTCTGCACCAGCCGCATTGCCCCCTCTGCACCAGCCGCATTGCCCCCTCTGCACCAGCCGCATTGCCCCCTCTGCACCAGCCGCATTGCCCCCTCTGCACCAGCCGCATTGCCCCCTCTGCACCAACCGCATTGCCCCCTCTGCACCAGCCGCATTGCCCCCTCTGCACCAGCCGCATTGCCCCCTCTGCACCAACCGCATTGCCCCCTCTGCACCAGCCGCATTGCCCCCTCTGCACCAACCGCATTGCCCCCTCTGCACCAGCCGCATTGCCCCCTCTGCACCAGCCGCATTGCCCCCTCTGCACCAGCCGCATTGCCCCCTCTGCACCAGCCGCATTGCCCCCTCTGCACCAGCCGCATTGCCCCCTCTGCACCAGCCGCATTGCCCCCTCTGCACCAACCGCATTGCCCCCTCTGCACCAGCCGCATTGCCCCCTCTGCACCAGCCGCATTGCCCCCTCTGCACCAGCCGCATTGCCCCCTCTGCACCAGCCGCATTGCCCCCTCTGCACCAGCCGCATTGCCCCCTCTGCACCAACCGCATTGCCCCCTCTGCACCAGCCGCATTGCCCCCTCTGCACCAGCCGCATTGCCCCCTCTGCACCAGCCGCATTGCCCCCTCTGCACCAGCCGCATTGCCCCCTCTGCACCAGCCGCATTGCCCCCTCTGCACCAGCCGCATTGCCCCCTCTACTTGGCTCGCCTGTGCCACTCCTCCCTCCGCCCACCTCCTCATCCTTGTCCACGCACAGTGGCGCCTGCTCATCCTTGTCCACGCACAGTGGCGCCTGCTCATCCTTGTCCACGCACAGTGGCGCCTGCTGGGGGGGAAGACCATGCAGCAAGGCTATCTCTGCTCCTCCCTGGCTTTCCCCCCCTTCTCTCTCCAGCCTCCCCCACGCCGTCACCTGCCCCATCCGCCCCGCGCCCGCCAGCCTTGAGATCCTGGCTGGCGGCCTGAGAGTGGCGCTGGGCCATGCTGGGAGTGCTGCTGCCAGACGTGCTGCAGCACTACAGCGACGCCACCTTCCTGGAGGGCGTGTGCTGGTGCGTGGGGGCCGCAGGCGCACCCTCCTTGTGTTGTGTTGTGTCCACACCTTCCTCCCCTCCTTGTGTTGTGTTGTGTTGTGTTGTGTTGTGTTGTGTTGTGTTGTGTTGTGTTGTGTTGTGTTGTGTTGTGTTGTGTTGTGTTGTGTTGTGTTGTGTTGTGTTGTGTTGTGTTGTGTTGTGTTGTGTTGTGTTGTGTTGTGTTGTGTTGTGTTGTGTTGTGTTGTGTTGTGTTGTGTTGTGTTGTGTTGTGTTGTGTTGTGTTGTGTTGTGTTGTGTTGTGTTGTGTTGTGTTGTGTTGTGTTGTGTTGTGTTGTGTTGTGTTGTGTTGTGTTGTGTTGTGTTGTGTTGTGTTGTGTTGTGTTGTGTTGTGTTGTGTTGTGTTGTGTTGTGTTGTGTTGTGTTGTGTTGTGTTGTGTTGTGTTGTGTTGTGTTGTGTTGTGTTGTGTTGTGTTGTGTTGTGTTGTGTTGTGTTGTGTTGTGTTGTGTTGTGTTGTGTTGTGTTGTGTTGTGTTGTGTTGTGTTGTGTTGTGTTGTGTTGTGTTGTGTTGTGTTGTGTTGTGTTGTGTTGTGTTGTGTTGTGTTGTGTTGTGTTGTGTTGTGTTGTGTTGTGTTGTGTTGTGTTGTGTTGTGTTGTGTTGTGTTGTGTTGTGTTGTGTTGTGTTGTGTTGTGTTGTGTTGTGTTGTGTTGTGTTGTGTTGTGTTGTGTTGTGTTGTGTTGTGTTGTGTTGTGTTGTGTTGTGTTGTGTTGTGTTGTGTTGTGTTGTGTTGTGTTGTGTTGTGTTGTGTTGTGTTGTGTTGTGTTGTGTTGTGTTGTGTTGTGTTGTGTTGTGTTGTGTTGTGTTGTGTTGTGTTGTGTTGTGTTGTGTTGTGTTGTGTTGTGTTGTGTTGTGTTGTGTTGTGTTGTGTTGTGTTGTGTTGTGTTGTGTTGTGTTGTGTTGTGTTGTGTTGTGTTGTGTGTGTTGTGTTGTGTTGTGTTGTGTTGTGTTGTGTTGTGTTGTGTTGTGTTGTGTTGTGTTGTGTTGTGTTGTGTTGTGTGTGTTGTGTTGTGTTGTGTTGTGTTGTGTTGTGTTGTGTTGTGTTGTGTTGTGTTGTGTTGTGTCCACACCTTCCTCCCCTCCTTTCCCCGCTCGCCCCAGCCTTGACATCCTTCACGCCCGTTAGGTTATGCTGGGAGCGCTGGGGGAGGCGCTGCAGTGGCGCACACACATGAATGATCCACTCCTTCGCCACTTCGCCCCGCTCCCCTTTCGTCCTTCCCCTTTCCCACCCACCCCAGCCTGGAGATCCTGCATGCGCGGTGGGCCATGCTGGGCGCGCTGGGAGTGGTGGTGCCGGAGGCGCTGCAGCGCTACAGCGACACGGCCTTCTTGGAGGCGGTGTGGTGGCGCGTGGGCGGCGCCAAGCTGGCGGGCGACGACCTGGACTACCTGGGCGTGCCGGGGCTGCACATTGCAGGCGGGCAGGGCGTGGTCGTGATTGCCATCGCGCAGTTCCTGCTCATGGTCAGTCAGTGCCCGGCTTCCGTACAGCAGGGGCCCTCCCACAGGCAGAGCGTGGGAGTGTTACAGCCTGTGCCCCACCTACACGTGCACGGCAGCGGCTTGGAGCACCTGGTCTGGTCGTGGCGCGGCTGCACGTGGCAGGGGGACAGGGGGTAGTGGTCATTGCCGTCACACAATTCCTGCTCATGGTGAGTGCCCACACTGCACGTGCCCATGCTACAGTTTCTGCCCCACTGTGAGAGCTGCAGGCGACGGCTTGGACCACCTGGGCGTGGCGGGGCTGCATGTGGCAGGCAGGGGGACAGGGAGTTGTGATCATCGCTGTGGCGCTGTTTCTTCTTCTGCTCAGTGCCCCCACCGCACGTGGCCTCCCTGCACGCAGTGCGACCGGCCACCGGCGCCACTGAAGCTGCGAGCTGCACACCCATGGCGCAACCACTTGAAGGAACGCTCCCACACGCTCACCGGCTTTCATGTTGTCCAAATATTGCCTCGATGCGTTGCCATGCCACCACGATGACCTGTCACCGCATGGCTTTGTCATCAAGACTCGACCAACTGTTCTGGTCAAGACTCGACCAACTGTTCTGGTCAAGACTCGACCAACTGTTCTGGTCAAGACTCGACCAACTGTTCTGGTCAAGACTCGACCAACTGTTCTGGTCAAGACTCGACCAACTGTTCTGGTCAAGACTCGACCAACTGTTCTGGTCAAGACTCGACCAACTGTTCTGGTCCTCCATGCTTCTCCCTTTACGCCCACCCCATCCTGCGTTCCCTTTTTCTCAGGAGGAGGGGGGAATATTGTAGGCCACCTCGTTCGATGTCGTTGTCCCTTTCCCCATCGCTGCTCTCCTCTCCGTCCCATGGTGGCCTACAATTTCCCCCCCTCTTCCCGCCACCTGGGTGAACCAGGCATGCGCGCATCAGGGCGCCCTGATTCTTCTCCCTGAGACCACCTCCCTCTCCTCTCTCCCGCCTCTCCCCTGCTCGCGCGACCCCCTCGTCCACAGAGGTCCAGAGTATGCGCAACACGTGGGCGTTGGGGCCCCTCGGCTCCGTCACCCCCTTCCCTTCCCATTTCCCCTTCCCTCTCCCCCTCCCACTTGAGCGCAGAGTATGATCGCGACACGGGAATAGCAGATGGGGGTGTTGCAACTCCCTTTCCCCATCTCCCCGTCACTTTCCCCTTATCCACTGCAACCCACACCCCAGCTAGGACCAGAGTATGCGCGTTACACAGGCATAGCAGCGTTGGAGCCGCTGGGGGTGTTTCTGCCGGGCGACATCAACCACCCGGGCGGGTGGCTGTTCGACCCGCTGGGGCTCGCCAACGATGCAGAGCGGTTTGAAGACTTGAAGGTGGGTGCATGTGCTGCTGATGTTGCCGTGGCGTGAACGGGTGGTGAAGGTGCAAGCAGGGGTGTTGAAAGTGAAAGTGTGCTGGGCAGGAGTGGTCGTTATTCAAGGCGAGGGTGGGTGCTGGTGTGTGCATGGGTGCTGTGTGCATGGGTGCTGTGTGCATGGGTGGTGTGTGCATGGGTGCTGTATGCATGTGTGCTGTATGCATGGGTGCTGTGTGCATGGGTGCTGTGTGCATGGGTGCTGTGTGCAAGGGTGCTGTGTGCATGGGTGTGCTGTGTGCATGGGTGCTGTGTGCATGGGTGCTGTGTGCATGGGTGGTGTGTGCATGGGTGTGCTGTGCGCATGGGTGCTGTGTGCATGGGTGCTGTGTGCATGGGTGCTGTGTGCATGGGTGCTGTGTGCATGGGTGCCGTGTGCATGGGTGGTGTGTGCATGGGTGGTGTGTGCATGGGTGGTGTGTGCATGGGTGTGCTGTGCGCATGGGTGTGCTGTGCGCATGGGTGCTGTGCGCATGGGTGCTGTGTGCATGGGTGCTGTGTGCATGGGTGTGCTGTGTGCATGGGTGCTGTGTGCATGGGTGTGCTGTGCGCATGGGTGTGCTGTGCGCATGGGTGCTGTGCGCATGGGTGCTGTGCGCATGGGTGCTGTGTGCATGGGTGTTGTGTGCATGGGTGTGCTGTGTGCATGGGTGCTGTGTGCATGGGTGCTATGTGCATGGGTGTGTTGTGTGCATGGGCGCTATGATACTGTATACGCTCAGCAAAATTTTCGTTTCACGTGTATGCGTTCACGTATAAACGCAAAAACGTGAAACGGGGACAAATGCGCGATACGGAAAGCCGGGCTGGCAAAAACAAAAAAACAACAAAAAAAAGTTCGTGCTTTTCCCGTACGCACGTATACCAACATTTCGGGTCGCGTTTTTCCAACCAGGGGACGTGCAAAACCGAGTCGCCACGATCACCCCACGAACATCAACATTGCGCCCACTCACCCCCAACAACTTGTGACCAACCACAGCACGTCCCCCACCCCCCAACCAAATCGTGGTAAGTATAATTGACCCCACCTCAACACTTTTCTCATCCAGTTGTCATCCCTGTTCAGTGTTGAGCTATGTCTACTCCACCAGCCACTTCTCTCGACACTCAGCCTTCTGGTCCGTCTACTCAGCCTACTGATCCTTCGGCCTCGAGTTCGGAGGCGCAATGGCAGGAGGAGGATAGAACTCATGTCGTTTTCAAGCATTTCAAGGTTCCCATCCGTCCCGGCACACTCGCTGCTGTCCGCGTTTGCAAGTATTGCAAGTATTGCACCATCGAGTTCAAAGGTGGTGCGTTTCGATGCGCTCAGCATCTCGCGAAATGGAAGGGACAGAGATCTCGCGACGTCCGCCTGTGCGCTAAGGTTCCGCCCGACGTGCGAGCGGCGGTGCATTACGAGAAGAAGGCAGCCAACCGCGACGAAAAAAGGCGGGCCGAGGATGCTGCGCTCGATGCTGTCGTGGGAGGTGCGAAGAAAGGCCGCATCACCGATTTCATTGGCGACGACGCGCAATGCAAGAAGGGCGAGGCGGACAACTTCGTCTGTAGTTCTTCGCCAGCTGTCGCATTCCCGAACACCACGCCGACAACCCGTTGTGGCGCAACATGGTCAGGGCCATCAACAACGCCCCTCACGGTTATGTCGCGCAGCGCCGTACCTACGTGAGAGGAGCTGGGCTTAAGCAATGCCGCACGGGAATCGAGAAGGGGCTTCAGCCAATCGCCGCGAGTTGGAAGAGGGATGGCGTCACCGTCTCCTCCGACTTGATGACCGATCGGTGCGGGAGGCCGCAGGCGAACGTCATGCTGGTCAACGATTCGGGAGCAGTGTTTATCGAGGCTATCGACTGCAACATGTAGTCCAAAACCGGCGGCTACATCGCGTCCCTCCTCCGGCCCATCATCGAGAAAGTGGGGCCCGAGAACGTGGTAGCCCTTTGCATGGACGGGGGCTCCAACTACGGGGCCGCCTGCAGGAGCTGATGGCGGATTGGCCGCACATTGAGTACGTGCCGTGCGCTACGCACGTGCTTGACCTCTTGATGGAGGACGTGGGCAAAATCACATGGTGCAAGGACATTGTGGATCGGTGCGGGGGCATGATCACCTACGTCCGGAACCACCATTTCACCCACAATTACCTGAGGAGTAAGGCGGTGAAGGGAGGAAAAGGGAAGCAGCTTGTGAAGCCGGCGGGGACCAGGTTCGGCACCAACTACATCGCCCTCTCAAGGCTCGTCCAGTTGCGGTCCACACTGTCGCAGTTGGTGCTGAGCGAGGAGTTTGCCAACTGGTCGGCGGGGGCTAGGAAGCTGACGGCGGATACGTTCCGCGGCCACGTCATGGACGACACATGGTGGAAGAACGCTACCTACCTGGTGGAGCTCTTGACGATTTCATTCAAGGTGATGCGGGTCACGGACAGCAGCGCGAAAGGCATGATGGGAACCATCTACAGCATGATGGGGACCTTATGCTGCAGCTGACCGAGGACATGAACGACAAGCTGGAAGCGGGGGAGAAGATTTTGCCGCGGGCGATTGCGGATGACATTGGGAAGATTGTTAGGCGCCGTTGGGACGAGAGCCTTGCTTGCGCTCTTCACGTCGTGGGGCGGATCCTGAACCCGGCAAATCAGGATGAGGGTATTTTCCGCAACGACCTGGAATGTACCTGCATCTTCAAGGCGTTCATCGCACGTCACTACGACGGCGAGACGTTCACCAACAAGGTTGGTGAGGAGAGGCGGGCCTCTCTTGTTTTGCAGGAGGGGCTCACGGCCTTCCTCACCCTCGAAGGATCGTTCGGCCTCCCTGAGGCGATTGCCGACAGGGAGGCCGTGAAGGCAGGCAAGCACTCGATGGTGCAGTGGTGGGGATGGCACGGGACTGACCACCCCCACCTGGCCAGCCTTGCGTGCCGTGCCCTGACACAGCCGGTGTCGGCCTTGCCGTGTGAGCGCGGGTGGGCATCGTGGGAGTCGGTGCACACTGCCCGCCGCAACAAGCTAGGCTCGGAGAAGCTCCGAGACCTAGTTTATGTGACCCACAACTGGCATGTGGTCCACAAGTACCACAAGCGGGGTGAGTCATCGGCGGTGCTTCCAGGCAACACCCCTGAACCCGCTCTGCCGGAGGGATACAACAAGGAGGAGGACGGGGAGGAGGAGGAGGAGGGGGAGGAGGATGAAGCCATGCTGGCCGATTAGTACGTGGAGTAAGAAAGGCAGCAGCAGCACAGTAAGTGGTTGAGGAGGCGGCGAGCTTCAGGAGTAGGGGAGGAGGAGAAGCAGTTGAAGGTTTGGGGAGTAGGGGAGTTAGGGGATGTATCAGTCAAGTAGTTGCTAGTATGTGTGTACTTGCAATGCATGTTTGTAATGGGGAAAAAAAGTTTCATACATAGGGAAAAACCCAACTGTGCAAGGTCACAATGAACATAGGCAACGTGTCTTACCCCCTGATACTTTTTTTCCCCTGCCCGGGAACTTTTTTTCCCCTGCCCAGGCGACCGTATTTCGAGCGTATCGTGGGGCGGAAATTCCGCGTCTCACGTACGTACGTGAGCGTATGGTTCGTACGCGACTGGTACGCCGGCCGCGTATTTTGCAACATAGCATGGGCGCTGGGGTGTGCACGTCAAGGCGTGGAAGGTAGTCTTGGGAGGGCGTTAAGGCATGGGGGGAAGCCCTAGAGGATGCCACCAATCAGTGTGAAGGCGCAACACGCCCACGCATCCCTGCTCCATCACTGCCTCTGCTGCTCCATCACTGCCTCTGCTGCTCCCCCCTCTCTTGCTGCTCTCCCCACTCAGGTGCGGGAGATCAAGAACGGGCGGCTGGCAATGATGGCGTGGGTGGGCTTTGCCGCCCAGGCGGTGGTGACGGGGCAGGGTGTGTTGGACGACTGGGAGGCCTTCCTGGCTGACCCCCTGCGCAACAACGCCCTCACCTTCGCCCTGCACTAGCACTCCCCCTCTCTGCTGCTCCATGCTGCATCGGAGGCGCTGCCAAACATATGCTCAAGGAGTGGCCAGCTGTGAGCCCCATAAGTGTCATTCATTTTGGTGAAGAATTTGAGATGCAACGTTATCCCAGAATGCTACAACGTGGCATTGTAAGGTGTGTACATAGAAATCTCTTTGCTTGTGATTGTTTATTTTCATATGGAGCAAGTACTGCCCAGCCCAGACCTCAATTCATGCTTAATTTGAACATGATACTCCATGCTGTTCTCCTGTGATGTGATGAAAGCTGTACCTGTTGGGAAAAGAAATTTGACTTGCAATTCAGCAGTTCGATCGATTGTATAAAACTACAGTAGTAGTATCGTAGTATTGCTGTATGAGTGCATGTTACTGTAGCATGTGTCCCTTCCATGCCCTCAGATATCAGCGTACAACACGCTGATTACGCTGATTTTGTAGCTGTGATTTTCGTTTTCCCTGAAAATTCAGCATATGCTTCAATTTTGCACTGAAATTTCAGTATATCCTCCTACCTTGTCACACTGACCATCTTGCGAGTTTCTTTACAAGTAACACTGACGAATCAGTATAGTGACGTGAGTCACACTGAAACAGAGTTGACCGCGTGTGGGGGGGGGGGGGGGTGGGGGGGGGGGGGGGGGGGGGGGGGGGGGTATAGGGTACACGTGTACAATCTGTACCTTCCCGTGATTCCTGAGCTGAGACCCCACCCACCCACTTGGCATTTTTTCGCATGCACTGCACAGATATCAGGTGCGCGCCGAAGTGTTTAGCCTCGCTGGAACCTACCGTATTACCCCGGATAGAAGCGCACCTGCGCTTATAATAAAGCAGAGTTTTTTAGGGGGGTGCGTGTCAAAATTAGAAGGAAGAAAGAGGATTGAACTAGCAAGAATGAGGATACAAATAGCAAACCCTAGAAGGGTTGTACTCGCTATAGAGCACCCCACTACAGGCTAGAACAATAAGATAATATTCTGACACACCCCCATAGCCAAAGTGGGGTGTAATCAGCAGAGCAGGCAAAGCAAAACAAGCTCAGAGTGGATCACAATGTCACCACACATTCTGAGCACAAGTTCAAGAAGAAATAGTTTAGAGTTTACAATTATAAGCAAAGCTAGTGGTAGTCACAACGGGCAAGTGAGGAGGAGGAGGGAGAGTGAGGGGAGAGGAGACAGGAGGCGACGGCTGAAGCTGCAGACACACGGGCAACAGGAGGCAGACTGGCACAGCGGCTACCGGACAGCGCCCGGACTACAGGAGTAACAGGCCCCGCGGCTCAAATAGCGGCGGACGGGCAACGGACCCACGGGCGGCTGGCACAGCTGGCTACGACTGGGCTACCGGGACAGCGCCCCGGACTACAGGTGCTGCTGACGACAAACTGGCAACCTCCGCTCATCCTCCCGCACACAGTCCCACCCCCCTGATACACACCCACTGCTACACCACTAGCTCTACTCCCACACACCCCCCTTAAACCCTAAACCCAGTCTCCCACACAACCACCCCCCTCAGCGACAGCTGCAGCAGTGGGAGACGAAGGAGGAGGAGGAGAAAGGGAGGAAGGCACACCGGCCACCCCCATACCCGCCACCCCACAGCTCGCCCCTCCCGTCGTCCGTCGTGGCGACCTGAGGGGGCCGCTTGCGGGAGGGGAGAAAGGGGGGGGAGGGGAGGGGAGGGGAGGGGAGAAAGGGGGGGGGGGGGGGGGGGGGGCGGCCCACCACGGACCTGAGGGGAGGGCGGGGCCGCGACAAGGGGCGGGGCCGCGACAAGGGGCGGGGCCGCGACGAGCGGGGCGGGGCCGCGACGTAGGGGGGGGACCGCGACGTAGGGCGGGGCCGCGACGGTCGGTTGGGGCCGCGACAGGTCGGGGCCGCTAAGGTAGGGCGGGGCCGCGTAGGGTCCGGGGCGGGGCCGCGACGGTCGGGGCGGGGCCGTGACGTAGGGCGGGGCCGCTTCGAGGGGCGGGGCCGCGACGCAGGGGCGGGGCCGCGACGAGGGGCGGGGCCGCGACGGTCGGGGCGGGGCCGCGACGTAGGGCAGGGCCGCTTCGTAGGGCGGGGCCGCGACATAGGGCGGGGCCAAGCCGGGCAGGCGCACGGGCGGCGACGGGCCGGGGCGGGACCGCGACGAAGGGCGGGGCCGAGCCGGGCAGGCGCACGGGCGGCGACGGGCCGGGGCGGGGCCGCGACGTAGAGCGGGGCCGCGTCAAGGGGCGGGGCCGCGACGATCGGGGCGGGGCCGCGACGTAGGGGAGAAGCCCGCCGCGCGCCTCGGGGCGCACAGCGGGCAATGAACCGCCGCGCGCCTCGGGGCGCACGGCGGGCAGAAAACCGCCGCGCGCCTCGGGGCGCACGGCGGGAGGAAAAATTAGCAGCGGAAGCAAGGTGGGGACACACCCACAGGATCGATCCAAGGGGATCGACCTGCTCTGATAGCATGTCAAAATTAGAAGGAAGAAAGAGGATTGAACTAGCAAGAATGAGGATACAAATAGCAAACCCTAGAAGGGTTGTACTCGCTATAGAGCACCCCACTACAGGCTAGAACAATAAGATAATATTCTGACAGTGCGCTTCTAATTGAGTCATTTTTATAAGCGCATGCGCTTATATAACGACATATACGAATTTATTAATTTAAGACACCAAATTGTATGTTTCACTCTTGCCATTTCAACCGAGTCGAAATTTTTCGCCTCACCATGCAGAATCTCCAAGCGATTCTTCTCCAGCACACAGGGGCCAAGATGCAACACTTTGCAGTCATGCCAGCACATCATGTCTGGACTCGCAGCTAGTCAGGTCTTCGAGAGTCAAACTCAACGAAAATGAAATTGTACTCGCTTCAAAATTGAAACTCGCTACCATTTCGAACAGAAATTTTTATTTAAAGTTGTACATGCGCTTATAATAAGTAACGTTTTCACAGGGGGTGCGCTTATAATTAAGGATCGGCCATAAGCGCATTGCTCCAGATAGAAGCGCATGCGCTTATAATAGGCCTGCGATTCTATCCGGGGTGATACGGTATCACATCAACAATACCAGACACCTTGTACTGGGGTTTCAGTTAGAGCTTTTTGTTATTACACGGTTGGTTCAGTTTACTTATGATTTTTACACTGGCAAAATCAGTATAAAAAAAACCGCGAACGCTGATTTGGACACCTCGTTGGCCGGGGCACGCTGATCCATCAGCATACCCTCAAACCAATCTGAGGGCCTGGTCTCTTTGCATGAGTTACAGGTAGGAATGCGAAGTCTTGTGACTGTTGGCAAGACACATGATTATACCCCTTCGTAGAGTTGACACAATATCTAGCCCATTTCATGAACAAATACATCACTAAATAGGTGCTTCCTATACTACCGTGTTCTCCCATACATAACACCCTAGGGTATATCTAAAAATACAAGGAAAAAATGGGGGGGTGTCTTCTCATAGGAAAAATCTACATAATATCCATGTGCATATTGTGAAAGTTAGAAGGAAGAAAGAGGATTGAACTAGCAGAAATGGGGATACAAATAGCAAACCCTAGAAGGGTTGTACTCGCTATAGAGCACCCCACTACAGGCTAGAACATAAGAATAACATTCTGACACACCCCCATAGCCAAAGTGGGGTGTAATCAGCAGAGCAGGCAAAGCAGTACAAGCTCAGGGTGGATCACAATGTCACCACACATTCTGAGCACAAGTTCAAGAAGTAATAGTTAAAGTGCACAATTATCAGCAAAGCTAGTGGTGGTCACAACGGGCAAGTGAGGAGGAGGAGTGAGAGTGAGAGGAGTTAGGAGGCGACGGCTGAAGCTGCAGACACACGGGCAACAGGAGGCACACTGGCACAGCGGCTACCGGGCGAAGCCCCCGGAATACTGGAGTAACTGGCCCCGCGGCTTAAGTAGCGGCAGACGAGCAACGGACCCACGGGCGGCTGGCACAGCTGGCTACGACTGGGCTACCGGGCGAAGCCCCCGGAATACAGGTGCTGCTGACGACACGACGGCAACCTCCATGCAGCTTCCCTAACTATCCAACTCCCCCAACACACACCCGCTGCTACACCCCTAGCTCCACTCCCACGCACCCCCCTTAAACCCTAAACCCAGTCTCCCACACAACCACCCCCCTCAGCGACAGCTGCAGTAGTGGGAGACGAAGGAGGAGGAGGAGAAAGGGAGGAAGGGGACCGCGCACACCCGCCACCCCCATACCCGTCACCCCCATACCCTGAGTGTGCGGTAAGCGAGCTCAGGTGTGCGCGAAGCATGCACAAGCGTGCGGGAAGCGAACTCGGGTGTGCGGTAAGCAAACGCAGGTGTGCGGGGAGGGGGGGGGCCGCAGGGCGACACGCGGGTCGACGGGAATGGGCACACCGGTCGCCGGAGGCGGCGCGCGGGTCGACGGGGCCGCCACTAAGGGCGACAGGGAGCCTCGCGCGGGTTGACGGGGACGCCGCGAAGGGCGACGAGGAGCCGCACGCAGGTCGACGGGGACGGGCGTGCGGGTCGACGGAACGCGAAACCGCCGCGTGCGCCCAGGGTGCGCGGTGGGCAGAAAACCGCCACGCGTCCTGAGCGCATGGCGTGCAGAATACCGCCGCGCGAAGCAGGAAACCGCCGCGCGCCTCGGGGCGCACGGTGGGCAGAAAACCGCCATGCGCCCCGAGCACGTGGCGGGAAGAAAAAAAAACTGCCGCACGCCACGGGGCGTGCGGCATAGAGAGTAGCAGTAGCAGTTGCAGCGGAAGCAACGAGGTGGTGAGCCCACCCACAGGATCGATCCAAGGGGATCGACCTGCTCTGATAGCATGTGAAAGTTAGAAGGAAGAAAGAGGATTGAACTAGCAGAAATGGGGATACAAATAGCAAACCCTAGAAGGGTTGTACTCGCTATAGAGCACCCCACTACAGGCTAGAACATAAGAATAACATTCTGACACATATATATGGTATATTTTGTGCTAGGGTTTTTGTTATTGAACAACTTGAGTGTTTCCATGGTCGTTCACATGTTGAGGCGCGAATGTGAGTTTCGACGCAAACGTCATCACCCCCTCTAAAATGCCATGTGGCACCTCTCTGGCTGTCAGAATGTTATAGCTTATACATTTTGTGTACGCTGTAGTGGGGTATCCCATAAGGGGTACAACCCATTTAGGGTTAGTACTTGTACCCAACTCTTTCATAGTTCATTCATTCTCGTTTCTTCTCATGGTATCGAGCAGGTTCCCTAGCGGGAACGATTCCTAGGGCCCACCACTACGAATTTTTTTTTTCCTGCCCGGAGCACGCTCCGCTCAGGCCCGAGTCGCGCCCTGTGTGCTCTCCCTCCCGTCGCGTCGCCCTTAGCGGCGCTCTCACGGCCTCCTAGCGCCGCCCTTATGGCCCGTCGCGCCGCTTTTCACGGCCGCATCGCGCCGCCCTTTCGCGGCCCTGTCACACCGCCTCTTACGCGGCCTCGTCGTATCGCCCTTAGCGGCCCGTCGCCGCCCTCCACCCGCGGCCTCGTCGCCGCCCTTTCAGCGGATTCGCCGCCTCCCCCCTCGGCCCGACGCCGCCTCTTCCAGCGGCCTCGCCGCCGCCTCTTCCAGCGGCCCGTCGCCGCCTCTTCCAGCGGCCCCGTCGCCGCCTCTTCCAGCGGCCCTTCGAGCCGCTCGTCGGCCCACCCTTGCGCCGCCCTTGCGGCCCTGACGCCTACCACTGTGGCCACGGCGCCGCCCTTCCCGGCCCCGACGCCGCCTCACCCGACCCCGCCGCCGCTCGACCTGGCCTCGCCGCCGCTCCACCTGGCCTCTCGAGCCGCTTTCTGCGGCCTCCTCACGGCCCCGCCGCCGTCCCTGAGTCGGGAGCTGCCGCCGCCGAGCCGCCCAGCAGCCGAACCGCCGAGCTGCCCAGCAGCCGAGCCGCCCAGCAGCCGAGCCGCCGAGCCGCCCAGCAGCCGAGCAGCCAACTGCCGAGCCGCCGAGCCGCCGAGCAACAGAGCCGCCGAGCCGCCCAGCAGCCAAGCCGCCGAGTCGCCGAGCCGCCGAGCCGCCCTGCAGCGGAGCCGCTCGCACCGCCGAGCCGCCCTGTCCGGTAAGAGCAGCGCCTCTGCCACTGCACTGCCCTTACCCTACTGTTCGCGCTGCTAGTCCACTGCTGTCATGGCTACCCCTAGTGTCCTCGCCTTTGAAGCAGAGGGTCGGGCCGTTGACTTTGACGTCTGGATAGATGACCTGCAGCTTTTCTTACAGTGCGATAGGGCAGACGGTCTCTCCCTCTTTGACCTCACCTCTTGTGCCTCTCCTGCCCCTGCTGCTGATGCTGACGCCACTGTTCCCTCACAGTGGGCCACACGCGATGCTGCTGCACGTCTTGCTGTGCGTCGCCACCTGCCTACCTCTGAGCGTGCGCACTTTAGCCAGTACAAGAGTGCTCAGACCTTGTACGACGCTGTAGTTGCACGCTACTCCTCCCCTGCCACTACTGCACTGAGCCGCCTCATGCTACTGTACCTCTTTCCTGACCTCGCTGCCTTTCCCACAGTCACTGACCTCATTACGCACCTCCGCACTAGTGACATTCGCTACCGCGCTGCGCTTCCTGCTGAGTTCTGCGCCAAGAACCCCCCCTCCCATGTACATCACCCTCTACTACATAGTAGCCCGTCTCCCTGACTCCCTCCGCGTAGTCAGGGACCACTTTCTCTCTGTTTGCCCCACCACTTTCACCGTTGACCTCCTCGAGAAGGCCCTCATAGCAGTAGAGAAGAGCATAGTCGCTGTAGGAGCCTCTCGTGGTGACCCCCGCACCCCCGTCTTTGAGGGGTGTTCTCCCTCCCCCCTCTTGCCCTCTGTTGCTTCTGCTGCTGCGGCCGACCTCGTTGGTTTCGAGTCGGTCGGCGCGACGTCTGCCCCCTCGGGGAAGCGCCGCACTAGCAAGGGCAAGGGGGGCAAGGGCGCTGGAGGAGATGGCGGGGGCGGTGGAGGCGGCGGTGGAGGCGGCGGAGGGGGTGGGGGTGGTAGTGGGAGTGGTGGTGGGGGTGGAGGTGCCGGTGGCAGCAGTGGAGGAGGAGGAGGCGGCGGTGGTGGCGGAGGGAGCAGAGGCGGCGGTGGTGGCGGAGGCGGCGGAGGTGGCAGAGGCGGGGGAGGTGGCGGTGGAGCTGGTCGCGGCTCTGCGCAGAGGAGTGGCTCCGGTGGTGGTCCACGCCAGCAGCAGCAGCGCGGTCGTGAGACCCTGTCCCCTCAGCAGCTTCGTGAGTGGTACGCTGGGCGTCAGCGGGGTGGGGGTACTGATCCGTGCACCTACGTCCTGCGCACCGGCGACAGCGCGAGTGAGCAGTGTGGGGGTGCACACCCCACCCAGCGCTGCCTGACGGACGCTTGGCGTCACCAGTTCCCTTAGGCCACTGAGATCCCTCGCTGGGGCGAGCTGTCTAAGGTGGGAGTAGCTATCTTTGACCTTGACTTTGATGCTATTCTTTCTGCCATGTATGCTGTGACTATTAGTGATGAGGGTGACTGTTACCGGTGTTTCCCGCCCGATCCAGGAATTGAGACTGCTGCTCTAGGTACTGGTGAGGTTGCTGCCCTAGGTGCTTGCGAGGTTGCTGCTCTAGGTGCTAGTGCGTCCGCGTCCTCAGGTGCTGGTGAGTCTGCTCTCTCAGGTACTGCGTCGGCTTCGGCCTCCCTCACCTTCACCATTGACTCTGGGGCTTTTCGCTCCTTCTTTCGAGACCGCACCACACTCACGCCACTTGGTCGGCCGGTTGCGGTGTCTCTAGCTCACACCACACTCTCCTTTGGCACCACCGCCTTGGTCACCCCTCTCTGCTTCGTCTCAGAGGCATGGCCTCCCGTTTCCTTGTCTCTGGTCTTCCTCGGTCCCTCCCTCCCCTTCCTCAGGGGCCTGGCCCTACCTGTGTCCCCTATGTTGAGGGGCGGCAGCGCGCTGCCCCTCACTCCTCCCAGTTCCCTCCGACAGAGGCCCCGCTACAGACGCTTCACATGGACGTGTGGGGCCCAGCCCGCGTCCGTACACAGGGTCACGAGCGCTACTTCCTATTGGTGGTTGACGACTACTCGCGTTACACCGCAGTCTTCCCCTTGCACAGAAAGGGTGACGTCACTGAGGTGTTGATCGACTGGATCCGCGCAGCTCGTCTCCAGCTCAGGCAGAGCTTCGGCTCAGACTTTCCTGTTCTGCGTCTGCACTCTAACAGAGGCGGAGAGTTCTCCTCTGGCCTTCTGAGAGCCTACTGTCGTGCACGAGGCATCCGTCAGACCTTCACGCTTCCGGACTCTCCGCAGCAAAATGGGATTGCTGAGCGCCGCATTGGCATGGTCATGGACGTCGCTCGTACGTCCATGATGCATGCGGCTGCCCCCCATTTTCTATGGCCGTTTGCCGTCCGGTACGCGGCGCATCAGATCAACCTCCACCCCAGGGTCTCCATGCCGGAGACCTCCCCAGCCTTGCTGTGGATGGGGAAGGTTGGCGATGCGTCTGCGTTCCGTGTCTGGGGATCTCGGGCGTTTGTTCACGACTTGTCTGCGGACAAGCTGTCCCCTCGTGCTGCTCCTTGCGTCATCCTGGGTTTCCCCTCTAACGCGCCAGGGTGGCAGTTCTACCACCCCACCTCTCACCGTGTTCTATCCTCCCAGGACGTCACTTTTGATGAGTCGGTCCCCTACTACCGCCTCTTCCCCTACCGCACTCCGTCCCTTCCCCCGCCACCGCTCTTCCTTGTGCCAGGTCCCCCCCCCGTAGACCCCCTACCCCCTCAGGGTCCCGCCCCTTCAGGTGTGTCCCAGATAGATGCAGTCGAGCCGGTCGAGGTTGCTGGTGACTCTGGTGCTGCTGAGGGTGCTGAGCCTGGGGGTGCTGACTCTGGGGGTGCTGAGCCTGAGGGTACTGGTACTGGGGTTGTTGAGCCTGGGGGTGCTGCGCCTGGGGGTGTTGCGACTAGGGGTGCGGAGACTGGGGGTGCTGAGCCTGGGGTTGCTGAGCCTGGGGGTGCTGAGCCTGAGGGTGCTGAGCCTAGGGGTGCTATGCCTGGGGGTGCTGAGCCTGGGGGTGCTACGACTGGGGGTGCGGAGCCTGGGGGTGCGGAGCCTGGGGGTACTGAGCCTGCTGGTGTCGTATGTGGCGGTACTGTGCCTGGAGGTTCTCCGGGTGCTTCGTCTCGGCGGGAGCCACTCTCTCCACAGGAGCTGCGCGAGTGGTTTGCCCGGCGCTGGAGGCGTGCTGCTGGAGCTGGAGGGTCTTCGGCTACTAAGAGTGCTGGTGTCGCGGGTCCCGGAGGTGCTCGTACTTGGAGTACTGGAGCTGCTGGGCCTGCGGGTACGACATGAGCTGGAGCTACTGAGGGTGTTGACGCTGAGGCTACTGCTGGCGGTACTGCTGGCGATGCTACTGGTGCTGCTGGAGGTCCTGGAGCTACTGGAGCTGCTGCGGGTACTGGAGCTGGAGGTGCTGCTGGTGCTGGTGCTCCTGCTGGGGGTCCTGGTGCTGTCCCTGCTGTGTCTGGAGTCGCCGCGCGGCCTCGACCGTACTTCGTTCCGCTCCTTCAGCAGGTTCTTGGTCTTCAGCCGTCTACTGGTCCTCCTCCTTCCTTAGAGTGTCCACAGTCTGCCCCGTCACAGTTACAGTTACAGCCGGCCTCCCCACTGCCAGCTCCTTCTCCCTACACTGGTCCTACTGGAGGTCTTGCTGAGCGTCGTGAGCCTGCGTCTCGCCCTGCGTCGCCTGTTCGTCCTGCTCACGCTAGTGGTCGTGGTTCGCGTCTGCGTCCTCCTCCTGTCCCTGGCACGCACCGGATGCATCTGCGTCCGTCCACTGCTCCTCAGCGTGCCCCTTTGCCTTCTCCTCCTGAGTCCTCTCTTCCTTTTCTTGCCGACCCGGAGTCGGACTCTCTTCGTGCTGCCAGTCCTTCTGTTACGCGTCTCCTTGCTACTGTCATCACTGACCCTTCCTTTGAGTCCACTGCTCCGTCTGCCCTTGTTGCTGAGCTCGTCGACCTTGGTGCTCGCTGTCGCCTAGACTACGCTGCTAGTCTTGTCGCTGAGTCTTAGTCTGTCTGTCCTCCGTCCGTCGGGGTTGAGTGTGCCCTTGGCACGGACGTCCTTGAGGACAGGTAGGAGGAGTTCCAGTGTCTGACTGCTGCTTCACCTCATCTCGTGTCCGTACTGCTTACCCCTGAGGGAGACCCGGATGCACTTGACATCCCGACTCCGCGCTCTTACGCGGAGGCGATAGAGGGTCCCTACTCCTCTCAGTGGCAGGCAGCTATGGACACAGAGATGGCTTCCTGGAGTCCACAGGCACCTACGTTGACGAGGTTCCCACGTCTGGGGCGAACATCATCAGTGGCATGTGAATTTGCAGGGTGAAGCGGCCGCCGGGTTCTCCACCTGTCTTGAAGGCACGTTACGTGGCTCGTGGCTTCAGTCAGCGGCAGGGAGTTGACTACTTTCAGACCTTCTCTCCTACCCCGAAGATGACCACTCTTTGGGTACTGCTGCACGTTGCTGCGCACCGTGACTATGAGCTGCACTCCCTTGAGTTCAGCACTGCTTTCTTGCAGGGCAGCCTGCACGAGGAGATCTGGCTGCGCTACCCACCTGGCTTCACTGGGTCTTTTCCTCCTGGCACCCAGTGGAGCCTCCGACGGCCAGTCTACGGTCTCCGCCAGGCGCCCCATGAGTGGCACGACACACTGAGGACTACACTTGCGGCTCTTGGGTTTGCTCCTTCTACTGACGACCCGTCGGTGTTTCTGCGCACCGACACTTCTTTGCCGCCGTTCTACATCCTCGTGTACGTCGATGACCTGGTCTTTGCCACAGCTGACACTGCTGGACTCGCCCACGTGAATTCCGAGCTGCAGAAGAGACACACGTGCACAGACCTGGGTGAACTGCGCAGCTACCTTGGCTTGCAGATCACCCGGGACAGAGCATGCCACACCATTACCCTGACTCAGTCACAGATGGTGCAGCAGGTTCTTCAGCGCTTCGGCTTCACGTACTCCTTGCCTCAGGCCACTCCTCTGCCTACTCGCCACTCACTCTCAGCTCTGCCTTGGGATGAGTCCGTAGAGTCGGGTGGCTCGTATCCAGACCTTGTTGGCTGCCTCATGTACCTGATGACCTGCACTCGACTTGACCTCGCATACCCTCTTCGCATTCTCGCACGCTATGTTGCTCCTGGGAGACACCGACCAGAGCACATGGCTGCAGCGAAGAGGGTGTTGCGCTACTTGTGCAGTACGTCAGGCATGGGGCTAGTGCTTGGAGGGCGGAGTCCAGTGGTCCTCACTGGGCACGCAGACGCTTCTTGGGCTGACGACCAGGCTACGCAGCGGTCGTCACAGGGTTACACCTTCAGCCTTGGTTCTGGCTCTGTCTCGTGGCGGGCTAATCGCTCGTCTTCGGTTCTCGGCTCTAGTTGTGAGGCTGAGATCTACGCCGGAGCCATGGCTGCACAGGAGCTTCGCTGGCTCACCTACATGCTGACTGACCTCGGTGAGCCGCCTCGTTCTCCTCCAGTTGTGTTCATAGGCAACAAGGCCATGCTGGCCTTGTGTTGAGAGCAGAGACTGGAGCACAGAACAAAGCATATTGCTCTCCGCTACTTCCGTGCTCGTGAGCTACAGCAGCGTGGTCAGCTGCGCCTTGCGTACGTGGCCTCTGAGGCCAACACTGCTGATGTCTTCACCAAGGCACTTGTGCCTTGTGATCATCAACGCTTCTGTACTCAGCTGGGTCTTGTGCCTGTCTTGCCTCACTTGCTCACCTCTTGACCTTGCTTGTACTGTTAGATATATATATGCACCTGCTCTTGCTTGTCTAGCCTTTTATATATATGTACTCCTGCATGTGAACTGGCCTTGTGGCCTTGAAAATGTGCTCGGAATGTGTGGTGACTTTGAGATCCACCCTGAGCTTGCTTTGCTTTGCTTTGCTTGACTGGTCTTATGACCCCTTGTTTTCCCCCACTTTGCCTATGGGGGTGTGTCAGAATGTTATTGCTTATACATTTTGTGTAGGCTGTAGTGGGGTATCCCATAAGGTGTACAACCCGTTTAGGGTTAGTACTTGTACCAACTCTTTCATAGTTCATTCATTCTCGTTTCTTCGCACTGGCCACTTGCAGCGAAAGATTCTCCAGCGCGTGGCGACAGTGAGCTGGTGGGCGGGGGACAATCTCAGCAGATTTGAAGTGAAACTAGTGCGAAATTTCATCGAGGGAGGGATTTTCGGGATATCCTCCCATACTTGCACCTACTTATTAACAGCTGTAATAACGAATCTGTAAGAAAAGGGGGGTGTTATAAAATATCACCCAAAAAGGGGGGTTTTGTTAGAATCACTAGCTAGGTGAGGAACGAGTGTCGATTAGGTAAGAGGGAGGGGGTACAAGGATGTCGAGAGAGTTGGGTTGTACCCTCTAAGGTGTGACCCTAAACCTAGAGTAAGAACATAACAATATGTTTTGACACACCCCCATAGGTGAAGTAGGGGATTGCCAAACCTAACAGTGGTCGCAAGACCAGTCAAGCAAGAGAACAAACAAGGCAAAGCCCAGGGTGGATCTCAAGGACACCACACAATCTGAGCACAAGCAGGCGGCCACAAGGCCAGTTCACTTGCAGATTTATAATAGCAAGGCAATACACCGATTACAACCTAGCAAAAGTAAA